CCTCACATCTCCTCACATCTCCTCACACCTCCTCACTCTCCTCACACCTCCTCACATCTCCTCACACTCTCCTCACACCTCCTCACATCTCCTCACACCTCCTCACACCTCCTCACACCTCCTCACACCTCCTCACACCTCCTCACACCTCCTCACATCTCCTCACACCTCCTCACACCTCCTCACATCTCCTCACACCTCCTCACACCTCCTCACACCTCCTCACACTCCTCACACCTCCTCACATCTCCTCACACCTCCTCACACCTCCTCACATCTCCTCACACCTCCTCACATCACACCTCCTCACACCTCCTCACACCTCCTCACACCTCCTCACATCTCCTCACATCTCCTCACACCTCCTCACACCTCCTCACATCTCCTCACACCTCCTCACACCTCCTCACACCTCCTCACACCTCCTCACACCTCCTCACACCTCCTCACACCTCCTCACACCTCCTCTCCTCACACCTCCTCACACCTCCTCACACCTCCTCACACCTCCTCACACCTCCTCACATCTCCTCACACCTCCTCACACCTCCTCACACCTCTCTCACACCTCCTCACACTCCTCACACTCCTCACACCTCCTCACATCTCCTCACATCTCCTCACACCTCCTCACACCTCCTCACACCTCCTCTCACACCTCCTCACATCTCCTCACACTCTCCTCACACCTCCTCACACCTCCTCACATCTCCTCACACTCCTCACACCTCCTCCTCACACCTCCTCACACCTCCTCACACTCCTCCTCACACCTCCTCACATCTCCTCACACCTCCTCACACCTCTCACACCTCCTCACACATCCTCCTCCTCACACCTCCTCACACCTCCTCACATCTCCTCAAGCTCCTCACACCTCCTCACACCTCCTCACACCTCCTCACATCTCCTCACACCTCCTCACACCTCCTCACACCTCCTCACATCTCCTCACACCTCCTCACACCTCCTCACACCTCCTCACATCTCCTCACACCTCCTCACACCTCCTCACACCTCCTCACACCTCCTCCTCACACCTCCTCACACACACTCCTCACACCTCCTCACACCTCCTCACACCTCCTCACACCTCCTCACACCTCCTCACACCTCCTCACACCTCTCACACACCTCCTCACACCTCCTCACACCTCCTCACACCTCCTCAACCTCCTCACACCTCCTCACACCTCCTCACACCTCCTCACACCTCCTCACATCTCCTCACACCTCCTCACACCTCCTCACACTCCTCACACCTCCTCACACCTCCTCACACCTCCTCACACCTCCTCACACCTCCTCACACCTCCTCACACCTCCTCACACCTCCTCACACCTCCTCACACCTCCTCACACCTCCTCACATCTCCTCACACCTCCTCACACCTCCTCACACTTCCTCACATCTCCTCAAGCTCCTCACACCTCCTCCTACTGCACCTCTTCACACTGCACCTTCACATGTCTTCTCACATTCTTCACGTTCCTCACGCTCATCATGCTCCTCGTGCTCCTCATGTTCCTCATGCTCCTCACGTTCTTCATCTTCCTCATGCTCCTCATGTTCCTCACACTCCTCCTCTCACATTCCTCATGTTCCTCATGCTCCACATACTCCTCGTGCTCCTCACGTTCTTCATCTTCCTCATGTTCCTCATGCTCCTCATGTTCCTCGTGCTCCTCACATTCTTCATCTTCCTCATGTTCCTCATGCTCCTCATGTTCCTCGTGCTCCTCACGTTCTTCATCTTCCTCATGTTCCTCATGTTCCTCATGCTCCTCATGTTCCTCATGCTCCTCACGTTCTTCATGTTCCTCATGTTCCTCGTGTTCCTCATGTTCCTCATGTTCCTCATGTTCCTCATGCTCCTCATGTTCCTCATGTTCCTCATGTTCCTCATGTTCCTCATGTTCCTCATGTTCCTCATGTTCCTCATGTTCCTCATGTTCCTCATGTTCCTCATGTTCCTCATGTTCCTCATGTTCCTCATGTTCCTCATGTTCCTCATGTTCCTCATGCTCCTCACGTTCTTCATGTTCCTCATGTTCCTCATGTTCCTCATGCTCCTCATGTTCCTCATGCTCCTCACGTTCTTCATGTTCCTCATGTTCCTCGTGTTCCTCGTGCTCCTCATGTTCCTCATGTTCCTCATGTTCCTCATGCTCCTCATGTTCCTCATGTTCCTCATGTTCCTCATGTTCCTCATGTTCCTCATGTTCCTCATGTTCCTCATGCTCCTCATGTTCCTCATTGTTCCTCATGTTCCTCCCTAAGCAGCTCCAGCAGTTTCCTGGGTGAAGTTTGGAGCTTCACAAGTGGGTCACCAGGGCATGGGCCTCAGGGGGCACCAGGGGGCCTCAGGGGGCCTCAGGGGGCATCAGTGGGGCATCAGTGGGGGCTTCACCGGACAACGGAGGCACCAGGTTATGTTACTGGTTTGTCTGGAATGTTCCGCAGTATGGCATTAAACCTTTCTATCTCCATGGAGACCAAAGCAGAGGCAGTTCCAGGTCAAATCTGTGGAGAGGCGATCCCAAGGGTCGAGCTGTTTAAAGTCACACTGTGGAACATTCCAGGCAGAGCAATGACGTCTCCATAGAAACGAGCAGGTGACGGACACAACCGAAGTGTCACCAAGTGAACGCACACTGGTATCGGTTCATACCCCCACGCCGGTATCGGTTCATATCCACTCACCGGTATCGGTTCATACCCCCACGCCGGTATCGGTTCATATCCACACACGCCGGTATCGGTTCGTATCCCCACGCCGGTATCGGTTCATATCCACTCACCGGTATCGGTTCATACCCCCACGCCGGTATCGGTTCATATCCACACACCGGTATCGGTTCATACCCCCACGCCGGTATCGGTTCATATCCCACCGGTACTCACCGGTATCGGTTCGGTATCGGTTATCCCCACGCCGGTATCGGTTCATATCCACACACTGGTATCGGTTCATACCCCCACGCCGGTATCGTTTATCCCCACCCCGGTATCGGTTCCCCATCCCACGCCGGTATCGGTTCATATCCCCACACGCCGGTATCGGTTCGTATCCCCACGCCGGTATCGGTTCATATCAGGTATCAAGTCAAAGTTTGGAGATTGGCATCAGAGGAAGTGTTCATGGGCGTGTTTGGGCTCCATGGACTCTGGCTTCTGTAATGTTTGTGACTTTTCTGGTGGAGCTCGTTTCCATGGAGATGTTACTGCGCTGCCTGGAATGTTACACAGTGTGGCATTAAACCGGTCTATGGCTTAAGGCGTGAAAGAGGCTTTTTCCTTTAATAAAAACTGTAAGTACAGTCCATGCAAATCAATCTGAAGCCGTCTATCAGAAAAGTTCCACAATGCAGCTTTAAAACAGCTGAGAGACAAAGTGAGAGAAGCTCAGACTTATTCAGGTCGTGAAGAGAAATGGGTCGTCGTGTTTTCCACAAAAACCTGCACTAACATGTTCTGAAATGCTCTGGATTCTTCTCGTGTTTCAATTGAAAAAAACTCTCACGGACGTAGAGAAGAGGAGGAGACGGAGAGGCTGAGGAGGAGGACACTCTGCTGCTGCGGAGGCTTCAGGAGGATGATGAAGAGAGTGCATTTATGTGATTGGTGGAGAGGAGACAGTCTGAGGTCTTCACTGTGACGTCCAACGGGGGGTTCTGTTCACGTCTCACCTTCATACAAACATATATATTTGTGTTTATATATTTCTATATTTGTATAAATATATTTGTATAAATATATTTGTATAAGTATGTTTGTATATATTTATATATGTGTATGTTCAGGTCACACCTGAGCTTCTTGGGCTGTGCTCTTTTCTTGTTTCTTTTTTCTTGTTTCTTTTTTCTTGTTTCTTGTTTCTTCTCATTTTTTCTTCGGGTCAAACTGTTTGAGATTCTGAGTCTGTGCGCGCGGACACGCGCTCTGGCGGACACGCGCTCCGGCCTGTCACAGACACATGTCCACACGCACATTCACGCGCACAGTCTGTGCGCTCTTTCAGATGCGGGGCCGGGCCGCTGCGCATCTCCACGGCCGCGTCCGCGCACCTGAGCCGCACACGAGTCCTCCGAGTCACCGCCTCGGGTCGGTGTCTGGTACCGACGCAGTGAATGACTCGACTAAATGCGGGAACGGCCGAGTTTATTTTTAGCCCGTATGAAGACGGGTGAACAGTATGGCCGCCTCCCACTCCCACACAGTGACGTCAAAGTGTTACGCAAAACCAGGGGTTCACCTTTTGAGCATCTGAGCCCACAGCGCGCGCGCACTCCAGCTGCCCACGGCTCCAGCCCGCGCGTGGGCGTGAGGAGCCGCTGCAGCACGAAGCACGAGCCTGTGCGCATACACGCGCGCGCACACACACACACACACACACACACACACACACAGACATACAAACAGACACATACACACACACTTACACACACACAGACACACATATACACACACACACATACACACACACACACACACACACACACAGTGACACACACACACAGTGACACACACACACACACACAGTGACACATACACACACACACACACAGACATACAAACAGACACATACACACACACACTTACACACAGACACACACACACAGACACACATATACACACACACACAGACATACAAACAGACACATACACACACAGTGACACACACACAGACACACAGTGACACATATACACACATACACACACACACATACACACACAGTGATACACACACACACAGTGACACACACACACACAGTGACACACACACACGCACACACACACACAGTGACACACACGCACACACACACAGTGACACACAGCACACACACACACACAGTGACACACACACACACACACACACAACACACACACACAGTGACACACACACACACACACACACAGTGACACACACACACACACACACACAGTGACACACACACACACACACACACACACACACACACACACAGTGACACTTAACTATTTGTAGAGCTGCTGCAGACACAGGTCCAGACTTTCTCCCTCCAGCTCTTCGTCCGTGAGCAGGTCGGACACGGGGCGCAGGGGCAGCGGGTCGCTCTCCTGCAGAGGCGCCCTCATCTCCCGGAGGAAGAGCTCCAGGAAGCGGCGGAAGGTTTTCTCCTCTGCACAGCCGGCCATCGTCTCTCATTCCCGGACACAGTCGCGCACCGCCCGGCAGAAGCTCGTCGGCCGAAGGGAAGGTCGACTAACCGCACCGGAGGTGTCGTCCGCGCCTTGGGCTCCTCCGCGGCGGCGCGAGCTGCAAATAGAGAAGTGCACGGCGGAGTGCGCGGCGCAGTGCACGGGGCTGTCACAGCTCAGCCTCATGCAAAGCACCGCGGGAGCGCGCCTCGAGTTATCAGGGATTTCGGATCATAGTGCAGTGACGTCACAGCGAGGAGAAAGCAGAAAGAGTTCACGTGAACGCGCGCGCACACCACTTTGCAATGGTTTACGTGGGCACGTGGGCACGTCATCCGTGGGATGTGAGGATGCGGAGAGGAGGGGGGGGGCTCACCCAAGGACACGCGAGGGCGGGGCCTAAGCAGCATCCGGGTTTTTATTAAGTTACAGCCAATATGAACTTTCCATCCATCTGCACTGCTGTGTCTGAGTGTGTTAGTGTAACGCACTGCCGTGTCTGAGTGTGTTAGTGTAACGCACTGCCGTGTCTGAGTGTGTTAGTGTAACGCACTGCCGTGTCTGAGTGTGTTAGTGTAACGCACTGCCGTGTCTGAGTGTGTTAGTGTAACGCACTGCTGTGTCTGCTGATATAGTGTTATTATATTTTATTTACTACATACTCGTGTGTATTTTTCTGTCAGCACCTGCCGTCTCCCGCCTTTGTGAGTTCAAGTGATGTTCAGGTGATGTTCAGGTGACGTTCAGGTGATGTATGACTCAGGTCTGGGCTAAACATGAGGATTGTTTCACACATGTAGCTACATCACTTTAATGGTGCTGAGTTCCTCCCATCACATCTCACTGGGGTCACTCCTCCTCTCGAAGTCTCTAACCCTCCTCCCGAAGTCACTAACCCTCCTCCTGAAGTCACTAACCCTCCTCCCGAAGTCACTAACCCTCCTCCTGAAGTCACTAACCCTCCTCCTGAAGTCACTAACCCTCCTCCTGAAGTCACTAACCCTCCTCCTGAAGTCACTAACCCTCCTCCCGAAGTCACTAACCCTCCTCCTGAAGTACTAACCTCCCGAAGTCCTCCTCCTGAAGTCACTAACCCTCCTCCTGAAGTCACTAACCCTCCTCCTGAAGTCACTAACCCTCCTCCTGAAGTCACTAACCCTCCTCCCGAAGTCACTAACCTCCTCCTGAAGTCACTAACCCTCCTCCTCCGAAGTCACTAACCTCCGAAGTCACTAACCCTCCTCCGAAGTCACTAACCCTCCTCCTGAAGTCACTAACCTCCTCCGAAGAACCCTCCTCCCGAAGTCACTAACCCTCCTCCCGAAGTCACTAACCCTCCAGAAGTCTCTAACCCCTCTGAAGTCACTAACCCTCCTCCTGAAGTCACTAACCTCCCTAACCTCCTCCGAAGTCACTAACCCTCCAGAAGTCTCTAACCCTCCTCCTGAAGTCACTAACCCTCCTCCCGAAGTCTCTAACCCCCTCCCGAAGTCACTAACCTCCTCCTGAAGTCACTAACCTCCAGAAGTTCTAACCCTCCTCCTGAAGTCACTAACCCTCCTCCTGAAGTCACTAACCCTCGAAGTCCTCTAACCCTCCCCTGAAGTCCTAACCTCCTCCCAAGTCCTAACCCTCCTCCCGAAGTCCTCTAACCCTCCTCCTGAAGTCACTAACCCTCCTCCCGAAGTCTCTAACCCTCCTCTCCGAAGTCCTAACCCTCCTCCTGAAGTCACTAACCCTCCTCCCGAAGTCACTAACCCTCCAGAAGTCTCTAACCTCCTCCTCCGAAGTCCTAACCTCCTCTCCGAAGTCACTAACCCTCCTCCCGAAGTCACTAACCCTCCTCCTGAAGTCACTAACCTCCTCCTGAAGTCACTAACCCTCCGAAGTCTAACTAAGTCACTCCTCCGAAGTCCTAACCCTCTCCTGAAGTCTAACTAACCCTCCTCCCGAAGTCACTAACCCTCCTCCTGAATCCTCCCTCCTCCCGAAGTCACTAAACCCTCCTCCTGAAGTCACTAACCCTCCAGAAGTCACTAACCTCCTCCCAGAAGTCCTAACCCTCTCCTGAAGTCCACTAACCCTCCTCCTGAAGTCACTAACCCTCTCCTCCGAAGTCACTAACCCTCCTCCTGAAGTCTCTAACCCTCCTAACTCCTGAAGTCACTAACCTCCTCCCGAAGTCACTCCTCACTAACCTCCGAAGTCACTAACCCTCCTCCTGAAGTCACTAACCCTCCTCCCGAAGTCACTAACCCTCCAGAAGTCTCTAACCCTCCTCCTGAAGTCACTAACCCTCCTCCCGAAGTCTCTAACCCTCCTCCCGAAGTCACTAACCCTCCTCCTGAAGTCACTAACCCTCCTCCCGAAGTCACTAACCCTCCAGAAGTCTCTAACCCTCCTCCTGAAGTCACTAACCCTCCTCCCGAAGTCTCTAACCCTCCTCCTGAAGTCACTAACCCTCCACCCGAAGTCTCTAACCCTCCAGAAGTCTCTATCCCTCCTCCTGAAGTCTCTAACCCTCCTCCCAAAGTCACTAACCCTCCAGAAGTCACTAACCCTCCTCCTGAAGTCTCTAACCCTCCAGAAGTCACTAACCCTCCTCCCGAAGTCACCAACCCTCCTCCCGAAGTCACTAACCCTCCAGAAGTCACTAACCCTCCTCCTGAGGTCACTAACCCTCCTCCAGAAGTCACTAACCCTCCTGAAGTCTCTAACCCTCCTCTTGAAGTCTCTAACCCTCCTCCCGAAGTCTCTAACCCTTCTCCTGAAGTCACTAACCCTCCTCCCGAAGTCACTAACCCTCCAGAAGTCACTAACCCTCCTCCCGAAGTCACTAACCCTCCTCCTGAAGTAACTAACCCTCCTTCTGAAGTCACTAACCCTCCTCCCGAAGTCACTAACCCTCCTCCTGAAGTAACTAACCCTCCTTCTGAAGTCACTAACCCTCCTCCTGAAGTCATTAACCCTCCAGAAGTCACTAACCCTCCTCCCGAAGTCACTAACCCTCCTCCCGAAGTCACTAACCCTCCAGAAGTCTCTAACCCTTCTCCTGAGGTCACTAACCCTCCTTCTGAAGTCACTAACCCTCCTCCTGAAGTCACTAACCCTCCTCCTGAGGTCACTAACCCTAATCCTGAAGTCACCAACCCTCCTCCTGAGGTCACTAACCCTCCTCCTGAAGTCACCAACCCTCCTCCTGAAGTCACTAACCCTCCTCCTGAGGTCACTAACCTAATCCTGAAGTCTCCAACCCTCCTCCTGAAGTCACTAACCCTCCTCCTGAAGTCACTAACCCTCCTCCCGAAGTCACTAACCCTCCTCCCGAAGTCACTAACCCTCCAGAAGTCTCTAACCCTTCTCCTGAGGTCACTAACCCTCCTTCTGAAGTCACTAACCCTCCTCCTGAAGTCACCAACCCTCCTCCTGAGGTCACTAACCCTCCAGAAGTCTCTAACCCTTCTCCCGAAGTCACTAACCCTCCAGAAGTCTCTAACCCTTCTCCTGAGGTCACTAACCCTCCTTCTGAAGTCACTAACCCTCCTCCTGAAGTCACCAACCCTCCTCCTGAGGTCACTAACCCTAATCCTGAAGTCACCAACCCTCCTCCTGAGGTCACTAACCCTCCTTCTGAAGTCACTAACCCTCCTCCTGAAGTCACCAACCCTCCTCCTGAAGTCTCTAACCCTCCTCCTGAGGTCACTAACCCTTCTCCCGAAGTCAATAATGAATCAATAATTTTGGTCACTATTGGCTGAACTATATTAGAGCACAACACACAACAACCATCCCCAACACCCATCCCTAACAACCATCCCCAACACCCATCCCTAACACCCATCCCAAACACCCATCCCAAACACCCATCCCCAACAACCATCCCCAACATCCATCCCCAACAACCAACATCCATCCCCAACAACCAACACCCAGCCCCAAAAACCAGCCCCAACAACCAACACCCAGCTCCAACAACCATCCCCAACAATAACCCTCCTCCTGAGTCACTAACCCAAACCAGAGTCCAGCAAACACTTAAATCACATTTCATCATTCGATGTAAACATTTGATAAGTGAGTTGTTGTACAGTAGTAAGGAGTATTATCTGTGGCATAAGGGTGAGTTGTACAGTTGTAGGGAGTATTATCTGTGGCATAAGGGTGAGTTGTACAGTTGTAGGTAGTATTATCTGTGGCATAAGGGTGAGTTGTACAGTTGTAGGGAGTATTATCTGTGGCATAAGGGTGAGTTGTACAGTTGTAGGGAGTATTATCTGTGGCATAAGGGTGAGTTGTACAGTTGTAGGTAGTATTATCTGTGGCATAAGGGTGAGTTGTACAGTTGTAGGGAGTATTATCTGTGGCATAAGGGTGAGTTGTACAGTTGTAGGGAGTATTATCTGTTCGGGGTTCGGACAGTGGGTGGTTTTGGCTTCACTGAGGCGTGAGCTGCTCTGTCCTTAATCGTACAAATAATTAGAATATACAAACGGAAGAAGAAAGAATGTAAAACTGAAACTTAACACAAGGGGGCGCACAGACTCCCCACAGCTGAGCAATAAAATCCACAGATTAAGTTTCGCAGTTTACGTGTCCGATTTACCGAAAGTATCACCCAGCTTTTCTGCACGTGCTCAGAATCTAAACATTCATGAGAAAATGTAGAATATTTACAACATTTATAACAGGCAAAATACAAATAAGTAAACCAGACATGCTCCAGTGAAGTGGAAAAGCGGCTCAAGAATGAAGTAACAAGTGTAATATTTTAGTGTAATCTTTCTTTAAACCAATCCTTTTACTTGTCCTTTTCTGTTATTTATTTCTTTATTTTCTTTGAATTGGTGTGTTCTTTTTGAATGTTTCATATTATAAATATGAACATGGAAATGAAACTTTTGTAAATGTACAAATAAAATGTTAAAACTGTCTGAAAGAGATATTCATGGTAAGTTACTGCCACCATGTGGTGAAAAAAAGTGCGTCCCATCCATCACAGTATGTGTATATGTTTTACACACACACGCACGCACACACACACACACACACACACACACACACACACACATATACATATATATAAAAGAGATGTACTGTATTATAATAACATATATACAGATATTTATACAAACTATGGTCCCGTCAAACTGTCCTCTCAGAAATGTCTCAGAAAAAATCAGTTTGATAAAATTAGATATTATTATAATAATAATAATAATAATAATAATAATAATAATAATAATAATACAGTGATTTACACGAAACAGATCGAGTCTGTTGCAGAAATTTTTTTTCTGAAGAGTTTATCTTTACGAGCGGAACTTTCGGTGGGTTTAGTGTTTCACTCGGACACGTTTAATGCTGAACCGGAAGTATGTGTGTGTAAGATGGCGGCCGCGGCGCTGGTGTTTTGGTTTTAGAGCCGCACTTGTGGCTCTTTTGGCTCTTTCTTTCGGCTCTTTCTTTTGTCTCTTTTGGCTCTTGTGGCTCTTTGGACATGGTGGTGCCCGTGGACATCTCGGCTCTGCTGCGGGCCGAGCCGGAGCCCGGGGAGGACGGACTTTGTGTGGTCGGACTGTTCGGGAAAAGTGACCTGAGGCCCGAGTCTCGCACCGAGTCTCTCGTGGACGCGCTTCTGGACAGACGCGCGTTCCCGCCGTTCGACGCGGGAAACGGCGGCGGGATCCGCGCGGTGCACGAGCCCGAGCGGCGCGTGCTCTACCTGCTCATGAGCTCCGCGTGCGACGGCCGCGAGCTGCTGCGCGCGTGCGCCGCCGTGAGCGCGAACGGCGCGCACGCGGACGCGCACGAGCTGTGGAAGAGTCTGGAGCGCGAGCGCTGCCTGCACCTGCTCTTCCTGTTCTCCGTGTGTCACGTGCTGCTCCTTGTGCACCCCAACCACACCTTCGACGTGACGTACGACCGCGTCTTCCGCGCGGTGGACGCGCTGCGGCAGAAAGTCCTGCCGCTCCTCCGCGCGGCCATCAAAGACTGCGCCGTGTCCAAAGAGTGGAAGGTCAACTGCCGCGCGTGCCCGCCGCGCGTGCTCTTCGTGTTCCACATGAACGGCTCCCTCAAGGTCAGAGGTCACACCAGGTCACACCAGGTCACATGTCCACAGTGTCGGGTCCGAGGTCTTGGGTCTGAGTTGAGGTTGTGATCAGGACTAGAGGTGCAATGATACGGTTTTCCCACAACTCGACACGTCTCTCGATGCTCGGGTCGCGACTCGACGCGTCTCTCGATGCTCAGGTCGCGACTCGACACGTCTCTCGATGCTCAGGTCGCAACTCGACGCGTCTCTCGATGCTGGGGTCGCGACTCGAATTGATTAAGACGATGTCATATCAATATTTTCTGTAAATGAGTTTAATCCAAAAACACAACTAACCCTAACCCTAACACCCTCAAGCAGAGACAGTACGAGGCTCCGCCCCCTCCAGCAGAGACAGTATGAGACTCCGCCCACTCTGCCCCCTCCAGCAGAGACAGTACGAGGCTCCGCCCATCGAGTATCGAGTCATGACACGAGTATCGAGTCTTGTTGTGCGTCTGATTGTGCGTCTGTGTGCGGAGGTGTGGGCGTCTGTGTGCGTCTCGTTGTGCGTCTGATTGTGTGTCTGTGTGCGCAGGTGTGTAGCGGCGCGGACTCGGTCCCTCCCGTGGACAAACCGAAGCGTCCGTCTCCACGGCGACGGCTCCAACACGCCCTGGAGGACCAGATCTACCGGATTTTCCGTAAAAGTCGCGTCCTGACGAACCAGAGCAGTAACTGTCTGTTCACGGTTCCCGCCAACCAGGCCTTCGTTTACGTGGCGCCCGCCGCCGAGGAGGACGCCGTGGGCGCTCTGCTGGGGCAGCTCCGGTCGCACTGTGCCCTGGGGGAGCGCGACCCAGCGTCCGGCCCCGGGAGGTACCGGCCGACGCGGCGCTCGGCGCGTGCCCCCGCGCCCCGGAGCCGGCGGCGGGGCCCTTCTCCGGGGCCCCTCAGGAC